CAACTGGAAGATCTTAGGGTATCTTCTGATGGTATATCTTCTCTATGCCATTCAAAACAAGAGGACCAAGCACATTGAGGGGTGTCATTATCTTCTGAGGGTCAATATGGAGACAAGATTGATCTGTGGAACGTCTTGTAGAACAGAAGACCAAATTCCAAATATTTTCACCAAAGCCTTAAGTAGAGAATATTCTTGAAGAAACAAGGTGAAGATGGGGTCATGAGAGTTTAATGGAGAACCTGATTCTCCAGCAGTTGGCTATGCAAGACACCGTCAGGTAAAATTAGCTAAAGTATTTTCTGACCAAGCCTAACTCACATCGATACCATTGCAGGTAAACACGCATGACGATCATAGAAGCTAAAGGTACAGTTATGAACTGCAAAAGAAGAGCTGCTAAAACCTTTTTCAAAAAATGTTCGGGCATTAGGTTCCTGTACCACAGGTTAGTAGTAATGTGTTTTTCGCTACATGTCGTCTCAAAATGGTAACATAATTAACTCAACTGCCACATCATCCGACTTTTCAAAGTCTGCATGACATGTCTTGTCTTTCAAATCCCTTCATCCCCTCTGCACGATAACGTTTTCCCACAAACCTACCGCCATTTTCAAAACTATTCAGAACCCGTTTCTCTCTCCTCTCATCATTAGTCCTTTTTCTAATAAAACTTTCCTTCTCTCTCACAACAAGTCATGAACCTTCATCTCTTTTGTAGAGTTGTGATCTTCTCTTCATCTCTCTCTCACTCTACTTGTCTTCCAAATATTCCTATAATGGCTATCGAATGATCGCTTCCTTCTCCCACCGTTAACACCACTTTCACTTCTGTATCACCCTTAAAATCATCCCCAGAGATTTACCATTTCACTCATTCCAATACTACTGTATCCACACCTGGTTCCTCCTCTTTTCCTATAGTTTTTTTTCCTGATAAACCCTATTTTTCTCCTATGTGTTGAGAACTCTATGTCTCGTCACTCCTATGATCTATTCAAAGAACACTCAGGGGGTTTCACCTCTCAAGTGTTAGAGGTCTCTGAGGATGATCCTGATCAGTATCTGAACTCCTCCATTTTGGACTTAGTGACTCTCATAGAGTTACTAGAAAAGGAAGCAGCGCATAACATCATGGTTATCGCTGTTGAGAGTCTGATAAGTAAAGGAGTATATCTCTCGTCTGAGTATCAGGGAGAAGACACTCCATTCCTAAGTGATGTAAGAACCATAGTACTCCTCGAGTCTTTGGCTCATGAGATGTTGCCAGAAAAACCTACTGAAGAACCTGATTCGCTTCCAGGCAAACCCACTACTGCACCTCCTGATCATCCTAAGCTCTTAGAATCCTCCTCCAATTCATCCTCTATTAGGTGACAATAGAAAGAGGGTTTTGAGTCTACATTGCAGAAAAGTAAGAGGAGTGTCAAGACAAGGAAAAAGAGGTTGATGAATCAAGGGGAATTTGTTACTGACAAAAGTGTTCCAGTAAGTGGGATTGACAAAAATGCTCCAAAGGAGCCTGGTTCCTTAGTGCAACAATCTATTAAATCTCAAAAGTTTGTGGATAAAACTTCCGATGAAACTATTGAGAAATAAAATGGTGCATCTGTGAAGGGCAGCAACAAGTCTAAAAAGAGTCAAGTTGAGCAAGCCATGTCTGAAGATGATACTGCGAGGTGAGTAAGCTGGAAAGGGAAGTCTGTTGAAGGATCTAGCAAACGAAAACGGGAAACTGTTAGAGAACCTGGTGCTCCGAGGACCATGCCCAGTGATAGTGGTCTTTGGTAGCATAGATTAAGAACTCAGAAAGTCTTGTGGTGTCGTACATTTGACCCAACAATTTCAGAGATGGCCGGTATAAGAGATAGTGGAATTTCAACAATGGGAGCACTTGTTTGAAGGGAGCATGCCTCTAGTGTACGAAGATGCGGTACAAACCTTCTACGCATCTCTCCTCACTGTTGAGGGGGATCACATTTGTGCGCTAGAAAATAGAGTAGACGTTGTACTCAATGCTTCAGCATTGGGAAAGGTTCTCAGAATTCCATGTGAAGGGATGTCCTTAGTCAAGGGTGTCTGTGGTGTCAACTTTAGGAGAGCCATCATGAAAGAGCAAGCTATTCAACATGGGGAACATGTGCATAAGAAGGTATTACTTCCTGAATATCAACTTCTCTTTGAACTAGTCAATAAGGTGCTCTTACCTCGTTCTGAGAGGCGGTCTATTGCTACAAAATTGGATAAGGTCTTAATAGAGCAATTGATGAGTTTGTCCCAATCAATCTGCCAACAATCATGATAGATCATATGAAAAAGATGGCAAACATTAATGGTGGAAATCATGGGCTACCATATGGCTTTCTAATCACTCAGATGTTCAGATTTTACAAGTTCCCCTTGGGGAATCCCAGAGTGGGCACACGTAAACAAACCTTCTCTAAAACTACTTTAGAAGAATGTGCATGTGTAGAAAGAGTTGGTGGAAGCATCTCGACCATTTCTCAGCTGATCAACGCTCAAAATGTAGCTTCTGAAGAGATCAGAAGGTTGAGGGCTCAAAATGCCATACTGGAAACTCAGCTCAGTCAAGCAGTTAATGGGCCTGATTCTGTTAGTGAAGAAGTTGCCCGACTGACAAAGGAAAATGATAAACTTCGGGCACAATTGCTTGAAGAAGAGTTATCTGCAAATGCTCGACTGGACCTAGCTCTCAAAACCATTGTTGCCTCTTCTTCCAAGCCCCCTTTGTCTAGTGTCCCCTAGGATCCTCTCCGTGTCCAGCTATTTTTTCTCTAATATTTTGTGGCTGCTATTTTATTTTTGTTTGACTTATTTTGTGATGGCATGCTGGAATTCACCATTAATGCTCTTGTATTGCTCAGTCCATTGTTAATATTACTGAAACAACTACTCTTTTTGCTTGTACAATGTTGTGTTCCTCTGGCCTCTCTTTTCTGTCATGTTATGTGCACATATGTGGCATGAGTTAGCTGTGTTAGACTTCTTTATGCTAATTACCTGCTTATGTTCTTTTTAATGATGCCATAAGGGGGAATAGTAGGAGATATGAGATTAAGGGGGAATAGATTTAAGGGGAAATCGATTTAAGGGATTTTAGATTAAGGGGGAAATCAAAAGGAAAAAGAGAATAAAGGGAAATCAAAAGCAAACGGTCAGGGGGAACCTGTGCAGTTTCTGGTATCTTATCTGGTTATTTCTGCTCTAAATAAATACTATCAATGCATAAGTTTGTCATCATCAAAAAGGGGGAAATTGATGGGTTTTCAATGTCTTTTCCTTATGCTTCTTATGTTTTGATGATCTAACAAACTTATTGTGAAGATCCAGATAGAGAACCTGACACATATGGTATACATTTCAAATGAATAATGTCCAGTCTGATCTCCAGCAAATGAATGAACAACGACGGAGAGGAACACAACAGGGACCTGATGACCTGGTCCCTTAGGGTTCTCCAACAGAAGTACAAGTCAATGACTGTCCACAACTATTACAAAGAGGAACACAACAGGGACCTGGTCCCTTAAGGTTCTCCAACAAAAGTACAAGTCAACTATGCAGCTGGAACGTAACAGCAGAAAGTGACTATCTCGTAACTGTTACAAAAGAGGAACATAACTGGGACCTAGTCCCTTAGTGTTCCCTGACATAAGTACAAATCAACTATACAACTGGAACGCAAATGCACAAAAGTGACTATGCAGTAGACAGTGCAACAGTCACTTCTGATTGGGAAGAAACGTGTACCAAGAATTGATATTACCATCCATTATGATGTCTTTTGCGGTATAACAACCTGATGCAAGGCGCATAAAATTCACTTGTGCATTCAGTGATATTCTCTCAAGCATAACAGTGTTCATCCAACATTGAAGTCACTGGTGTGTCAAGAACAAGAAGACAACTCCACTAAGGATCAGTTTCTTAATGAGTTTATGTATATCCGTAATTGAGTTGTAATCTTGTTATTTGTTCTTCATTATATCTCCCATCTTGCTTTCTTAGAAGCTTTGTCTTAGGAAAACCAAAAATCCGTAAACTTCCGAGTTTATGTTGTGACTAGGATTAGTCATAAGTTTTAAGTCTTTGTAACTAGGAGAGTTATAAAATGGCTTGTGGTGATAGCATCATAAGTTAGTTGAAGTCTTTGTAATAGGGTTATTACAAAGTGGCTTGTAATAGTGAGATTGCAAGTTAGTGAAGTTAAAAGCCTATAAGTGTAGGTCGTTGTTTTTTGATCCCCTTGTGGAGGAATTTTCCACGTAAAAATTCCTTGTCTTCTTTACTTACAGTTTTATTAGCATTCTCAGCTTAACCTCATAGAGGACCAGGTACTCTACTGTTTGGTGGACTCATACAAACTGACAGATAGGAAAAACACCTCAGGTATGACTCATTTTCTTGGTTCATGTCTAGTATCATGGGCCACTAAAAAGCAGAATTCTGTGGCCTTATGGACTGCTGAGGCTGAGTATGTTGCTGTTGCTTCTTGTTGTGCTCAACTGTTGTGGGTCAAACAATAACTGATGGATTTTGGCATTAAAGTTGGTTGCATCCCTATTTTTTGTGATAACAATAGTGCTATTAGTATGACTAAGAACCGAGTTCATCATAAGAGGACTAAGCACATAGATGTTAGACATCACTTCTTAAGGGACAACTATGAGAAAAGATTGATTACTATAGAATTTTGTGCTACTAATAAGCAGATTGCTAACATCTTTACTAAAATACTGAGTAGAGAAAGCTTTGAAAGGAACAAGTTAGAATTAGGGATGATTAAGATTACCTAGTGGGACCAGCTCAGAATGCACAATGAAAATGAATGGAAAAAAAAATTTGGCTAGGAGATCTGAAACTTGTGTAAATATCTAGATTAATTTTTACTCAATTTCATACTGCAAATAGTATACTCATGTGGCATGTGTTGATATGACTCACTGATCTCTTACAAATTTCTCTACTTTGGAAAATAGAGGCATGATCAAGAGGATTCTAAATGAAGAACCGGGTTCATCAGTATTGGTTCATCTAAATAACGAGGTATGATTTCTATACTCTGCACAATTAGAAATATATATATTTAAATCATGAGCAGAGTCCTACCTATTTTCAAAAACATCAGAAAATCCTATCCGTTTATTTTTGAACCAGTTCTGTCTGTACTAGAATTCTCACCACATAAATTGCCTAAAATCTAGGGAAGTTTAACTGCTCATTCGACCTGCAATTTCAGGTTAATTGGACTTCTAATTGACTGCAAAAAGCTACCATTAGTCATTAATTAAGTTTCTCTCTTTAAAAACCCATCATCACTTTCTGCCACCCTCATTATTCAAAAGCCGTTAAAATTTCTTTCACTCTCAACTTTTCTCTCTTCCAAAAGCCAAACTCACAAATTCTCTCATGAAATCAGTCACAATGTCGAACCCTCAAGATAACCCAGGCACTCCTCCACAACCTACCTCTTCTGATTCCTCCACACCTCCTCAACCTAGTACAACCCCCCAGCCTATGAGGAGACGTGTTATGATGCTCGCTCGTAAAACTGTGGCTACAAGTGCTCTGTTAAAAAGATTGAACGCACAATTGAAGGCTAGCCAAGCCCAAGAATCTGAACACTCTGACAATTCCTTCAAGTCTGCAAGTGAGGGGAAAGGAACTAGGTCTTCAGATTCTGAGAAGATTCAGAGTTCCCCTTCTGAGGTACGTTATGTTTTGGTTGAAAGCGTAGAAAATAGGTTTGTTCTTGTTGGGTCTGTTAGAAATGTGGAAATGCCTGAGTTGAGAAGGAGAGGAGGTAAAAATAAAAATGAAAAAGGAAAAGAGAGTGAGGGTGCAAGCTGTGATATGAGGGGAACAGGGATAGAAGTGGTTGATTCGTCACCCACCTCTAAGATGGTTAGACCACCAATTTGTGGGACTGGGAATGAAATTGTAGGAGAAAGTGACAAGAAAATAGGGGGAAGTGCATCAAGGGAGGCTGCTGAGGGTTTGGTAAATTTAAGTTCTCATGTGGATGAACCCGATTCATTTATTGAAGAAACCCTAGCAGAACTTCTGAAGAAAGTAAGTGCTAGTTATAATCCCAAGAAAAGGAGAACACCAACACCTAAGGTTCCCAGCACTACAAAGAATACCAAGAAAAGAAAGGCTAATTCCCCAACAACTGCTGAAATTCCCTTGCTAAAGGGGAGATCCACAAAAAGTATGGTGAAACAGAGTGAGAGTGAATTACAAAAGGCTTTGGATGAAAGCAAGACGAAGAGGATGGATAAAGGAAAAGCTAAGGTTGCAGAGCCCTATAAGGCTGTTGATGTTGAGGAGGTGGAATAGGTCCATCAGGAGGAACACACAACTATGGAGGTTTAGACCCTCAAGCCCAAAAGGACCAAGACTTCCTCCAAGATGTCTTCATCTGTGTCTGAGACTGCTGAACCTTTATTGGCCAAGAGGACAAGGTCTGCTGTGAAGAACAAACAAGTTAAAATTACTGAGGAGGAGGAATGGAGTGGTGAAGAAGAGAGTGAATTTGATGATGAACCAGATAGGCTAGCCAAGTTTGGCAAGAGAAAAATCTTGAAGGGTAGACTTCTGAAGGATTTGGTGGAACCAGGAATGGTTCGATTGGTTGATGCTTTAGCTGCTCAGGGCTGGAAGGACACAGTCCTTCAGTTGAATGGTAGGCTGGCTAGGAATGAGATCATTAAATTCATGGTCAATGCAAAGGTCAAGGATGGCAAAGTCACCAGTCAAGTGAAAGGGGTCTAAGTGCACTCAATGCAGATAAGCTGAGTGAGATTCATGACATCCCTACTGAGGGATATGATGACTACACAAGGTAAAGATGGCCAAGTTTGGACTCCCTTCCTACTGCCCTTGCAATCACCAGGAGATTATGCGATATCTCAGAAGTGAATGAGGCCAAAGTTGTTCATAAGAGTGAAATGAAGCCATAACACAAAGTCCTGTTTGAATTTGTCAACAAGTGCTTGCTGCCTAGGCAGGAAAGAAGGCACATTGCTAACTATATGGACTTGGTGTTGATAAAGTGTCTTGAAAGAGGCAATCAATTGGCCTGCATTTATTATCAAGCTACTAGATAGGGTTATCAATGGATACAAAGCCCATGCTACTCCTTATGGGTTTATTCTGACTACTGTGCTTGATCATTGTAAGGTGCCTCTGAAGAAGTGGGAAATGGCTACAAGCAAGGATCACTTTGGAATCAACACTTTGATTACTTGTGACTATGAGGTCACTGCCATTCCCAATGAACCTGGTTCATCAGAGAGACACCTATAAATACCAAAGTCAGAGCTCTAGTGCAGGAGAGTGGGGCAAAGGATGCTGAGATAGCTAGGTTGAAGGCTCGTTTAGAAGAGGTTGAATCTGAGAGAGATGCTCTCAGAACTGAGCTCACAAATGAAAAGGAGAAGAATGAGGGCATTCTTCAAAATATGCTGAACCTTCTCTAAGACCAAAACCAACCCTCTAGCTCTCCTAAGCCTTAGGACTTCTAGCCTTCATCTCCTGAACCTGTCTAGTACCACCAGTGACCCAGATTAGGGATTTCTCTTTCTTTTGCTCATGCTTTGAATATTTTTGCTTTCTTTTTGTGAATCGTGTTAGCAACATATCTCCTTTCAATGAAATCTATTGTTTTTGCTCTTGATCAATTGTTAATATTTCCTTGATAGTTTGAATGTGTTTGCTTGGTTACTAATGATTGATCCATGATTGCACTTGCAATTGCCACAGTAGCCATGAGTAATTGTTAAAATTCTGGGAATCACACTTTATTTATGCAACTTTTCGATGATGCCAAAAGGGGAAAGACATATTGTGCTTCATATATTCTGAATAAGTGATGTTTATAACCTAATGAACCTGGTCATTGATGATAAGTAAATTTTTCTAAGTTTGTATTGATGAATAAGCTGAGTTCTGACAGGGCCTAAGTGAGTGAAAAGAACAGAGTTTGTCATCATCAAAAAGGGGGAATTTGTTGGCCCAAGTAAAGGTGAAGTTTTGAAGACCGACAAAGGAACTCAGACATGGACCAGGTCTATCTTGTGAAACACAGTTATGATCAACTCAAACATGTGAGATGCACGTGAAGGAGATAAACCTAACTTACCAAAAATGATATCTCCTAATCCTGATCGAAAAAGGTTGCATATTAGATAAGGAGAAAGACTCCTTACACAAAGATAAACACGACTTAAGAAATGGATAGAGTTAGAGGATGGGACCAACTAGAACTCTTCCACCAAGGAAGAGTAGCATCTGTATTCTAGTCAATCTCTTTTTACTAACTCCATAAATATCAGTGTTGTTATTTTTCACAGGAAATGCACATAAGCAGAAGTTAAACATGAATTGAGAGCAAAATAGCAAGGCAATTTTGCAAGCAATTTATGTGTGATTCAAGCGTGCAATCCTGAAGCTACTTGAACCAGATAGAAGGACCAGTTTAAAGCGTCTGACTTTTTATTCTAGTTCAATTATAGTAGGTGTTTTAATATTGTACCTTTTAACTTTATCTAGAAGCAATTGTATTAGGTACTTAAAGTTTTCAATTTAGAGTTAACTTGAAGTTGTCGCAACAGTTGAGGCTGTGTGCTACAACGGGATTAGAGTTAATCCTAGGTTTACAAAAGAGTTTTTGTAAATGCAGTTTTTGGCTCAGTGATTTTAGTGGAGAGTTTGAGAAAATCCTACTGGAAGGTAGGTCGTAATTTTTTCACCTTTTGAGCCAGGTGTTTTCCACCTAAAATCTTTGTGTTCTTTAATTTCTATATTTATTATTATTCCATAACAGTAGTAGTTGGAACACATAGAAGAACCAGGTCCTTCTATAATCAGGTTAAACGAAAAATTGGGCACCACACAAATCAACCCTCCTCTTGTGTGGTATTGAAGTATAGAACATTAGTTATTTTATCATATTTTGAGCTATGGACTTCAGAATGTAGCGGTTTTTGGAGCAAATTTCATCACAAGGATTAGGGTAAGTGTTATCTACACAATTTTTGATTACATTTCATGAATCCATCTTCATTTTTAGCAATTGGTTGATGAATGTAAAGAGAAAAATTGGGGGTTTTGGCCTAAAGTTCTATAATATGAATTTTTGAGTTTTGAACACTGATTTGGAGTCAAATTTGAGTGAAACTAGTATGGTTGGACTCGTAATTGAATGGGTTGTCAGATTTTGTGAGTTTTTTCGAGTTTCGAGGCATGGGCCCGGGTGTGATTTTTGGCCGGATGTGGGATTTGATGTAGGATTCGATCTTTATCATTTTAATTGCTTCCTTCCACCTAGGGCAACATGATAGGGGGAACTAACTAGAGAGGAACTTATCCTCAAACCTCAGGTAAACCTATTCCTCAGTAACAAAACTAGGAAGGAACATCCAAAGAAATTGACACTCCTATTGCAACATCCACGAAATTGGATATAGATGAACCTGGTTCATCTGTTGATCAGATGTTGTATAGGAGAATGATTGGTTCTCTTTCTCACTAGTAGAAGACCTGGCATTGTGTGCAGTGTAGGTCTTTGTGCTCGATTTCAGTCAAATCCAAAGGAGTCCCACTTGACTAATGTAAAGAGAATATTGAGATACTTTAAAGGCACTACTGACCTTTGCCTTTGGTATCCAAAAGGTAGTAATTTTAACATAGTGGGATATGCTGACGCTAATTATGCAGGTTTCCTAGTGGATAGGAAGAGCACCTCAGGTACGACACACTTCCTTAGTTCATGTCTTGTGTCATGGGCTACTAAAAATCAAATTCAAAGGCTTTATCTACTACTGAAGTTGAGTATGTTGCTGCTGCTTCATGATTGTGCTCAATTGTTGTGGATCAAGAAACAGTTGATGGATTTTGGTATTGAAGTTGGTTGCATCCCTATTTTCTGTGATAACACTAGTGCTATTAGTATGACTAAGAATCCAATTCATCATAAGAGAACTAAGCACATAGATGTTAGACACCATTTTTGAGGGACAACTATGAGAAAGGCTTGATCACTGTGGAGTTTTGTGCTACTGACAAATAAATTGCTGATATCTTCACAAAAGCCTTAAGTAGAGATCACTTTGAGAGGAACAAGTTGGAATTAGGGATGATTAAGATCACCTAAAAGGAACAGTTCAAGGTTAACCCAAAAAACTAAAAAAAAAACTGAAAAATATATTTGGTTAGAAAGTCTATAAATTGTGTATAGTTAGATTAAATCTTGCTCAGTCTCATACTTTCCATAGTATACTCTTGTGCCATGTGTTAAAATGACTCATTAATCTCTAATGATATTCTCTATTATGGAAAATTTAGACTTACACAAGAGAATTATCAGTGAAGAACCTGGTTCATCAAGATAACACGGTGTTTTCTACACTCTGCATAATTTGAAATAACTATATTTGGATCATGAGCAGAGTCCTACCAAATACCAAGGTTCTTGTGAACTTATCCGTTACAAGTGAACCGGTTATGTTCAAGACTTCTGACCGTATTAAACTACCTAGATTCTTTTATGTCTGCTACTCAGGGGGAAGAAGTGGTTCTTCCGAAGTTGAACAGGTATCTTTTGATTCTAAAGTTTCTCCTGAGATAATTTCTAAAGTTGCTGCAAATTTGGAAACTAGATTTGTAGGATCTATAGCAGGTGTTGAGACTACAGAATCTGGAGAAGTTGGTGGTAAAAATGAAAAAAAATAGAGCAAGGGTGCTAGGAGTACTGTGAGGGGAAAAGGGACAAGAGTGGCTGATTTTTCACCCACTCCTATGAGTTTAACCAAAGACTCATGTGCAATGGTTGTTTGGGGAGATGAACTTGGTTCATCTATAGAGGAAACCCTCGCAAGACATGCAGAAGAAAGTGACTGAAAGCTATAATCCAGCTTCTTGATAGAGTTATTAATGGCACCAAAACTCATACCATTCCCTATGGCTTCATTCTCAAAATTGTGCTTACACATTTCAATGTACCTATGAAAAGGTGGGAGGTTAGTACAAGCATGGATCATTTTTGGGTTAATACTTTGCTTGCTTGCGATATGAAGTCAATGTCACCCAAAAGAACCTAGTTCATCAAAAAGGTACTAGTGAATAGCAAGGTCAGAGCCTTGGTGCAAGAAAGTGGGGCTAAGGATGCTGAGATTGAAAGGCTGAAGAAGAGGTTGGTTGAGATGGAGACTAAGAGAGATGCTCTCAGAATTGAGCTGGCAAGAGAAAAAGAGAAGAATGATGGCATTATTCAAGGTGTGCTGAAACTCCTCCAAGTTAAAAACCAAGCACCTAGTTCTTCCCAGCCTTAAACCTCCTAGCCTAGTGTAGATTAACCAGTGACCCAGTTCGGGATTTTTTGTTTCTTTTGATCATGTTTTCAGTATTTTTATTTCTTCTTATGCTTTGTGGTAGAATCTTATCAATCATCAATGAAATTCACTGTCTTTTGCTCTAACTGTTTGTTTATATTTCTTTGATGGTCAAAATTATTAGCTTGATCTATGATGATTAATCCATGATTGTATTTGAAGTAGCCTCAGTGGCTATGAGTAAGCTTTAAAATCTGGTTATCTCACATTTTTTATGCAACTTTTAGATGATGCCAAAAGGGAGAAAAAGGTTCTGCTTTAAACAAGTGATGTTTATAACCTAATGTACCTGCTCCTTAATGATAAGTGATAAAAAGGAAAAATGTTTCTAACATTGTGTTGATGTTGAGTTGAGTTGAAACAGTGCCTAAGCTTATGAAAAGTACAGAGTTTATCATCATCAAAAAGGGGGAATTTGTTGGCCCAAGTAAAGGTTAGTTTTGATGACTGACAAAAGAACTCAGGATGAACCAAGTCCATCCCTCAGGTGTACAAAACGGGCAGATTCAAGCATGTGGGTTGCACGTGAAGGAGATAAGCTTAACTTGGTGTATTTAATATCTCCTAATAAAAAATGTTGCATAATTGACAAGGATAAGGACTCCTTAATCAAAGAGAACACTATCCAAGATAGGGAATGAGTTAGAAGTTGAAATCAACTAGAACTCTTCCACCAAGGAAGAGTTGCATCAGAACTCTAGTTATATCTTCATCTACTCACTCTATAAATTGCAGGATGTTCTCACATTACAAATGTTGCACAAAAACGTAGAAGTTAAATGTGAATTGGGAGCACAATAGCAAGGCTCTTTGCAAGCAGTTCGTTTGTGATTCAAGTGTGCAAACCTGAAGCTACATGAACCAGATTGAAGAACCAGCTCCATAAAAAGTTTTATGTGTCTTTCTTTATTTCTAGTTCAATTGTAGTAGGTGGTTTAAAGTTGTACCTTTCCAGCTTTCATAGAAGCAATTGTATTAGGTACTTTGAGTGTTCAAGTTATAAGTTAACTTGAAGTTGTCGTAACAGTTAGAGGCTGGTTGCTACAACAGGATTAGAGGTAATCCTTAGGTTTACAAAGAGTTTTGTAAATGTTATTTTGGCTCAGTGATTTAGTGAAATGTTGGGGAAAATCCTACTGAGTAGTAGGTCGTGGTTTTTTCACCTTTTGAGCCGGGTGTTTTTCACGTAAAAATACTTGTGTTCTTTATTTTTTGTATTTATTATTCTTCAAACAGTACTAGTTAGAACACCTAGAAGAACCAGGTTCTTCTATAGTTCGGTTAAGCGAAAATTGGGTACCACACAAATCACCCGCCCTCTTGTGTGGTACTGATGCTTAAAACATCAGATGTCTATGTTATTCATTCTCGTAAAGTTAGTATTCAAGCATGTCTAAGTATGTATCTAGTTCCCTATTGAGGTATTTGATAAAGATATTAATGTTTATAATATAGTAATACATGCATCTTCATGCATATTCATTTACCACCATGCTACGGACGGTCGGGCAGTCATGCATTTACCATCGGGCTAAGGATGGTCGGGCAGTTACCACCGGTTGGGCAGTTATGTATCATTATTTACCACCGGTTGGGAAGCCATGCATATTCATTTACCACCGAGCTATGGCCGGTTGGGCAGTTATACGTTTACCACCGAGCAAAGGCCGGTCGGGCAGTCATACATTTACCACCGTGCGACGACCGGTCGGGCAGTTAACACTGATCAGTTGGGCAGTCATGCATCATACGCTATGGATAATAGTCTCAAAAAGAAGCATTACATATATATATATATATGTAAGTATAATAAGCATGCACATACAGTGACACTTTAGAGATTTAGGTTGATTCTTATATCTCTTTAATAAAGGTTGAATTATGGTTATGTTTCAGTTCTGCCTTACATGCTCAGTACATTATTCGTACTAACGTCCTTTTGCTGGGGACACTGCATTCATGCCTACAGTTATAGATAATTAGTTTGACGAGCCCTCATAGTAGACGA